TAGCGGAAATAGTGAAGATAATCGCAGAAAACAATTCCTTCACCTCGAGGGGCTCTAGTTCTTCAATCACTGTCAATATAGTTAAATTCTTGCTTTATTTAAGCGATCATTACCGTATTCTCTCCAATAACGATACATATCATTATTATAAAAATATGCTGTCACTTTCGTTGCAAATAAGGCATTCTTGGCAAGAAAGATTCCCATACATGAAATTCCCAGGGATTTTTGACTTCTCTCATATATGGGCGCTCTTTGTAATGGGAATTTCAATTTAAAAGCACCCTGGGCGCTTTTTACGGCGAATACAGTGTGTCATTCTATAGGCTCATCATGTTAGTCAAAAAACTATTCACAGGCGCCATCCGCCTAAAGGAGAACTATCAATTAAATACTGAATTCTTTCTATTAAACACATTGTGTGTCTTCTTATTCTCCTGATGGAGGAGCTCTTTAGTACAGAAGTAAATCACAACGATTTGTAGAGTCACCTTCTACTCAAACAGACTCAGTAAAGATACTGCCAAGCTTAAAGTATCTCTCATACTTCTATTGATCGATTCAATGTATCGATTAAATCTATTTTTAGTGATAAAGATGTGGCAATATCCCCATTAATAAACATACCAGCATCTTCAAGCATATCTGCTGTTTATGTAGTGTTGATACAGCATAAGAAGGAGAAGGGGTGAGAGACTTCATGTAAGACTATAACTCACTTATCCTATATAGATCTAGAAGCAGTAGCAATGAGTTAATTGAATTGCATGTCGCTCTAACTTGTTTTTTCATGCAAAGAGCATCTGTACAACCACTCTCAATTATCACATTAAAAATGAACAAAGAAAATCCAGAAAAACCTAAAATACTAGAGCATAAAACATAAAATACAAGCATGTAATTAAACACACAAATGAACAATCAGAACAGACTTAGTTTGAACAATAATGGAATTACAGACAGTTGACCATGAAATATTGTAAAGAATATTTATACAAGAGAAATTCTTTCAAAGTCACATGATAAAATTACAAGGTACAATATTTATAGAGATAAATTAAGAAGATTCATGAGGCAGCATTCTATTCAAAGACGTCACAGGAAACAGTTTGCCAAACATAAATTCATTTATAAGTATTAAGGCTTTACAACAAATGACAAGAAGGTATTTTATGGTACATGTTAGGGGTAATCTCAAAATCATTTAAATTTTACACGTTATCTACATTTACTTCATTATTGATAAGTTCATCTACCAAAACCTTCTAAATGACTGAAAATTTTGAACAAGGCAATTGCACTATAGCACTTTTTAATGTGCAATAGAAATTATACAATTCGATAGACTCACATTGTGAAGTACCCTTTGCATTCGTTTGACTTCACTTCTTAAAAGAGAGCTTCGTCTTCACTCTTTCAAACTAAAATAAACCTGTGAACTCACCGCGCCAATCAGTGTTCGTCGGCCAAATTTGACCGAGGTTCTATATATGGTCATTCCTTCTGACGTCATCGTTGAGCCCGGAATTGACCAATGACATGCGCATATTTAATTAGAACGCATTTGGCGTATGTTTGTTCAGGCTCGCTGAATGGTGGAAGAAAGGTCAGCGCATAGGTCAGAAGTGATTTATTACCCAAACTGTCACCGGTACCCGTCGTAGGGGCGGGGCTACTAAACTGTAATATGGTCTCTACTAGGCAGAGTGTAGTTTAACTAGACTCTGCACGCAGGGTAATTGTGAAGAGAGCAGATTTTGAGTTCAGAAGAATAGCAGTTTCATTTGTCTAAAAATTCTTGACGGATCAACAGATGGATGGATGAGTAGTGGTGATTCTAAAGGCTAATATAAAAACTAACGTTGAAATATTCTTCATATTTAACAGTTTAAGAAACTGAATTTTAGAAGGTAAACAACTCACATGTATAAACATGTGAGTTGGTGTCTTAACATTGACATTCATTATACTCGAGGGTAGATATATTATATTTCTTGAGGGTTGTACCTGTATCCAAAACCTCCCATTAAATAACTGATTTGTCCTATACTAAAGTATATTATGAGGATTAATTATGCTTTGAATGCTTTGGAACTCTAATGTAATAACTAGATAAAGGCAACTCCGCGGAGTAGCAAATCCCAACGAACAACATATCAATTACCGAATTCCAATCAATTATACTCATTACTTTGGTTAAAATTGAAAAATTTAGATTTTAGAATTGCGAATTCCTGCAAAGCAGCCATTTTGAATTTTCTGAGGTACAAATCTGAAAAATAATACCATAATTGTGATCTACTCGAAAATTCCTTCAATTTGAGGATAATATAGCCATACTTTGAAGGGATCGAAAAATTATTGCGAAATCGTACACTAGACGGCCATTTTGAATTTTACGGGGCTTGAATCAGAAAAAAGATACAATATTTGTAATCTACTCTTAATTGCCTTTCATTTGAGTATAATAAAGCTATACTTCAGAAAGATCTAAAAATTAGCGAAAATTTCTGTTTTCCTGACCCCCCATACACGGCCCCTGGGGGTCAGAATGAAAAACACGGAATATATGTGAAATAGATAGATGTTGCGAATATACTACCAAAATTTCAAACAATAATAATAATTACTTTGGTTCAGAATGAAAAATTTATGATTTTTGCAAAAAAGTCCCGTCATTTTTAAAGCGGCGGCCATCTTGAAAAAATTTTTTTTTGCGTAAAACTATTCATCAACAACATCTTTCGACCAAATATGAAGAAAATCCGTCAACTAATATTTGAGTTATCTTCCGGACGGACGGACGGACGGACGGACTGACTGACGGACGGAGGGCTTCACTATATCCCTACCGAACTTGTTCGTTGGGATAATTACAATCAAAACATGAATATTTTATTTCAATTTTTTCGTCAAATTAGGTTTTACACCTTGATTCAAAAATTCATCAACATTTTCATTGCTAAATCATTGAATTTCAACAATTTTCAATTATACTCCTGCATGTTATTCACCTATAACACAACTAAGTATAGGATAAATATATTTATGTGCTGATTGGAATTGAAATATTGAGAGAACATAAACCAAAAATCAGAATAGGCTCTTGGTAATGATAGAGACTCCTTCCAGTGTTCAATTTCTGCAGAGTGGAAGCAGAAATTACAAATTTTTAGAAATCATGCTAAATAGTCAGCTTTATCTCTTTTCTATCAATATATTTTAATGCCATTAATTGGTCAATTACAGATCATACATGAGGACACTTCAGTGGCATTATAGGTGTCACTCAGTGTAGTATTTCCAATTTATTACCATGGTTAAATCATTATATATATTAAAAGATGTAAAAAAGACGCAGTCAACATTCTGCATTTTATTTGGAGTGTGTGGGGGAGGTGGCTTACCTCTGTAACTCACCCCAAAAAAGATTTGCTTTTCTGTTATACATGTACTTAGCTAGATGGCAATACTCCTATAACTGAACCAACGACTCAAAATGTTTCGCTTTCATCTAAAACTATTAAGATATCCAATAAAATGAGCCTTTTTACTTAGAGTCCATTTCACTGCTTCATTTCGTCAGTAGAACGGCAAAAATAAGAAATTGGGAGACCATTGTGCAATAATATATGGAAAAGTATATTCATAATGTACATGAATGACATTTGTATATTTCAGATTTTTTAGTTTTTTGTGCAATAAGCCTGTGCCGTCTTGTAATTTGAAGAATTTCAGCCATGTTAATCTTATTGAAAATAACATGGCAGAGAAACATCCAAATATAAGAGGCCACACACTTTATAAGCCAAACTAGAAGCAATCCAAGATATACAAATGTCATTCATGTACATTATAAATATACTTTACCATATATTATTGCACAATGGTCTCCCAATTTCTTATTTTTGCCGTTCTACTGACGAAATGAAGCAGTGAAATGGACTCTAATTGCAGACCGCTAGATTAACTTGCAGATTTCAGATTTCATCATTATAACTTGCAAATGGAAGGAGTAGATGCATATAGTTGCATTCCTCCCTTTACTGTTATGTGGTTACAGTACCGACAGATTATATCTTATCTTTCAGAATGGCAAATGTTTTTGAATATTTTAGTTTCCATGGATATTAACATCTTTTTGAAGAGCCTTTCTTAGATGTTCCAGCAAATCAAAAGTATGTGGTTTTAGAACCTAGTCCCATAAGGAATCCTTTACTAGTGTGTAAATTGCCAGAACTCTCCAGTTTATTTGAATTTGGTATATGTTAGATGTGTCACTCTCTAAGTGATCTCATGACACAGGACATTAAGTTCATGTGTGCTTGAAATTGTAAAATAAAATATATAGGGTTGCTAATGTTACAATAACTGTTCCACAATCTGAGTTAACTCTGTCCTGATTTAAAAATGTTTTGGACGGAAGATTTATAAACAGTTCCAAAATTATTCTGTCTGTTCCTAATATGAATGCCATAATTATTTAGGAACATATTTTCGAATTGCTTTTACATATGATTGTAGCATTAAAACACAAGAAAAGGAGCATTTCTCAGGTGATGGAGTGTTAATAACAATATGCTGGCTGGAATTTGAAGACCCAATAAGACTTTGCTAGAGGGGTTTGATCGGACATGCGTAATCTGGCAGAATGTTTAGCAATTGAAATATTCCTAACAAATCCTACTCATTAAATTTTCAGATTAGAGATCAAAAATGCAAATCAGTTTTGGATCCAATTTTTTAACCCGGCTTTGGCAGCGCTCTACACACTTTGACAGACTCCAACTGGGGATAAATATGTAGTAAGTACAGTAACGGAGTTTTAGCAAGTAGGCTCATAAATGTAAATCAAACGTAACATTAATATAAAACACTGCAATGTTAGTTGTGGTAAAATAAATAAAAATCATAAAAATTCATAAAAAAATGAATGAAAATTTTCCTTTTTACAATTGAAGGTGAAATCGACGCAAAAGGGTCATCTTAAGAATACATACCTAAATGCTCCGATAAGAATGTGTTTATCTCAACAATCTGCCATCATATTTACACGAATAGCAATGCGGTTTGTTCGTAAAATTGATGGAAAAGTTGGAGCTTTCCTCAAAAAACGGTTATCTTGTTGACTTCTCGTAACGTCTCGACAGGTGCACGAGAAATAAGGAGATTTTTCTTTGGACGAGCCTATAATTTTCAAATGGATGACAGGTTCTTCTAAATATTTTATTACATTCATGCTCCAAAGCGGTTATATCAAAAGTAAGATTATTTATTGTTATTTGACAAAATAATCAATTTCTGTAATACATAGATACCAATATTGCATTGTTTGACTATATTTTTACAATACAATTTAAAGTCGCCCCTTGACCTAGTTTTAGGAACGTAGACTGATCGTAAAAACAAAAATGGCGGAAACGTGTGAATGAATATTTTTTCAAAATTTGATAATATTTGAAATTACTCAACCTACAACTATGCCAGTGTCACAGAATACCACCCAGATCATATTTGTGAGTATACGCACCTAAGACATTCTACTTATTTAATTTTCGACTTATTCTCTCGTCGAAATTGTTTATTCTTATTTTCGGATTTTTTTTACTTGTGGAAAAATGATAAAATCACTTGAAAACTTTCTAAATTGACTTCTCAGATTAGTGCTCAGAATGGTGAAAACTTCATTGTACCCGGGATTGTTCCCCCAGAGTTCGTGAACGCAAGTGAATTTAGCACGAAAAATTTGAGGTGTCCAAAATTTGGATAATTATATGCAATAACATTTGAATCAAGGTATTCAGAATTGTTCCTTCTGAAACACATTCGTCTATACACGCCGAAGACTCTTATCTCAAGGACAGAATGCACAAATGTAGCAAAAGTTTTGCTGTTATAGGCAAAATAATCGCTAAGATATCGATAATTTTGCCTGTTAAATCTTCATGCTTCCGCCATCTGCTTTTCCATGGGCTTTCAAGACTTCTTTCATTCCATGGATGTTTTGGAGCAGTTTTGTTTTCACATTTGTGGATAACCTTCACTTCTGTTTGAAGTCCAATAATGCTAGGGGTAAAAGTTATTGAGAATGGCACCAGAATATCATAATCTAAAATGTACAATTTCTTTTTTAACTTTTAAATGGTACGATATAGTGACATGATAATATTTATATATGTGTTCAGCATAACCCTGAAGGTATGAGATCTAGATGTATTGGGTCTTTATAATTTTTTAAAAGAAAAAATGTTTAATTTTTTTGTCCAGCTTGATGGAGCAGTTTTGTATTTCACATTTGAAACTGCTCCATCAAAAAAAATTTAATATTATTTTTATAAAAAAATTAAAAAGACCCAATATATCTAGATCTCATTAATACTTTCATAGTTAAAAATAATTTGTGAAGTTTTCTTAGTGTTTTTATGAAAAATAAGCTCCATCAAGCTGGACAAATTTTTCAATGACAACCCATGTTAAACGATTATGGAATATCAAGTCACTGATGTCTAGGAGTATTGACAAAAAGTTAACTTCTTTTCTGTCACCAGTGTATTAATAAGTTGAACAATGCTAATTTGAAATTCTGTCAGCGTACCTATTATTGACCATCTTTTTCGCAAAGATCTGTTGTCCCAGCAAATAATTGCTTGTTTTGTCATGGGCTTTCAATAGAAGGGTTTGTCTATTGTTGACATAAATAGTCTACAGTATGGGGTATAAATTAAGAAGTAATCAATTTTCTATCCCCATTTCCAAACCATGGTATTTTGAAAACCCATTGTCTCCAATAATGTTTCGATACATATCCCCTAAAATTTGTATATTTTAAATTTTGTATAATCTCATTCACTGATAATTGGCTGGTCTCTTAAAAACTCAATTTTTTTAACATGGGAAATCCTCACTTCAGCAAATCCATGACAAATTATATATGGCCCACACTGTAGTTAAGATCTAGTCCATTGTATCAATACATACACCAGTTATTATTGCTTTCCAATATTGATTGATAATTGACGTAATAGAAATTGGTGCAAGATTATTTTTTGCACAATGTCTCATTGTTGAGGAGTTATGTCTAAAACAACATTTTTGTCTTTTTTTGATTTCAGGAAGAGGATGATCTTGCATATGAAGAGGAGATTTTGCGGAACCCATTCTCTGTGAAGTGCTGGCTGCGTTATGTTGATCACAAAAAAGACTCACCAAGACATGCGGTCAATTTGGTATATGAACGAGCCCTGAAAGAACTACCTGGAAGGTAAGATATGATGTTACTAAATAAAATACTGTTTCTTCTATCCTTTTCCATTTCAACTCCTTTCTTAAGAATGGAACATTTTGAACGCACATTCTTTCCCTGATTTGCACCAGTGACATGAGCATTTTTGACAAGTAATATACAAATACGATACTTTCACAAGACATGGAACGTATGAGCACCTTTCTAAAACCTTGACCTTGCAACATAAAAATAACTTGCACTCAATCTGAGTCATTGCCCTGTGGTGTTCACTAGAAACAAGTTTCACCGTACATGTATTTATTTTATTTATTTTAGCTACAAGTTATGGTATAATTATCTGAAATTGAGACGTAAACAAGTGAAGGGCCGTTGTATTACAGATCCTGGATTTGAAGATGTCAACAACGCATTTGAACGCTCTCTTGTCTTTATGCATAAGGTATGCAAGACTTATTTTATGTGTTATGAAGTCAGTATATTTTTTACTAATACAATAATATAATGATTTGAATAGACAAGAATGATTTTTTTTTTTTTTTCAATTTCAATTTATTTATAATTCCTAGGTATTGATATAATTACAAAAGTATGCCTTTGTTAACTTAATAACATTAGCGGCATAGTAAATATTAAAATATAACACAGGAATTTACACAATACAAATACAATACAAGTTCAGTCTGTATGTATGCTTGCTCCCCATCCCGCCCATAAGGTTCCCAAAGGATTTTAGAATGTTTCACTGGCTATTTAATACTGAGATTGCTGCTGAGATATAGTGAGCCACGATTTCAATAATTTTGCCATTCATCACATCACTAAGGTTGGAATCCCCATACAAAAGTGTATCTGATTTCTTAGAGATTGTTAAATTTCTGAAATCGGGCAAACATTCCAGTTCGTTGAGTCCTGCAAGAAGCAATTCCCTTTCATTTATGAGCAGTGGACATTTGATTAGAAAATGAGAAGTAGTTTGTTGAGCTGCACCACATGGACAATTGGGATCATTAATTGTGGTAAAATTGTGGGCATGTAAATGGCTATTGAGCAGGAGACCAGCTCTAAGAATGATTGATAATAGTTCCTTGTTCCTTCATCCCTGTCTCAACATGCAGAAAAATAAAAGTGATAACACGCAATCATGAAATTGAACATTTGTATTTGATAATAGGTATTATATAAACCTGAACCTATAGTCATTTAATTACAATGCCAAAGTTTGTTCTGTATACAAATTAATTTTTGCTCTTGTAAATTAGATGAATTGTAAAAAAATTTTTAGATGCCTAGAATCTGGTTAGATTACTGCCACTTTCTGATGGACCAAGGAAAAATAGTCCGTACTCGTCGGACATTTGACCGGGCATTACGTGGTTTGCCCATCTCGCAACATTACAGAATATGGCCTTTATACCTGAAGTTTATCAAGCTGTATCCACTACATGAAACTGCAGTTCGAGTCTTCAGGAGATACATGAAGGTCAGTAATCATCCCAGAATTGATGTAAAAAACTGAGCATTGCCCACAATTAATATTTTGAAAATATACTTGCATTGACCTGGAAACTCATTCATACCTTAGAAAATGAGAAAGTGAATCGCTAACAATAGACATATTTTGACTTTATATGGTCAAAATCGTTAAAAATAGAATTTTGCACCCAACAGAGAAAATTATCCTGGAGAGGACACACTGAAAATAATAAGCAAATTATGCTTGCATTTTAGTTGGAATCTTTTTATCGGTGTTTTTATGTCACCACCAAAAGTGGTGACATATTGTTATGGTCTCCGTTTTTTTGCGACGGCGTCCGGCGGTTGGTGGTTGGCGTCCGGCGTCTGGCGGTTGGCGTCTGTAACAATTTCTTACAACTTCCTATAACTTAACAAATACTGTTTAGACTGACTTCAATTTTTTTCTAAATCATCTACATGTTCTCAGAAGTTCAAATCTGACTTTAGATTTGACATTTGACCTTCAATGACCTTCTCAAGGTCAAAAAGGTCTTTTTTCAACTTGCTTCACATTGACTAAATTTTTTTTCAAAATCATCTACATGTTCTCAGAAATTCAAATCTGACTTTAGATTTGACATTTGACCTTCAAATCTGACTTTAGATTTGACATTTGACCTTCAATGACCTTCTCAAGGTCAAAAAAGGTCAAAAAGGTCTGTTTTCAACTTGCTTCAAATTGACTAAATTTTTTTTTCAAAATCATCTACGTGTTCTCAGAAATTCAAATCTGACTTAAGATTTAACTTAAGATTTGACATTTGACCTTCAATGACCTTCTCAAGGTCAAAAAAGGTCAAAAAGGTCTGTTTTCAACTTGCTTCAAATTGACTAAAAAAAATTTTCAAAATCATCTACGTGTTCTCAGAAATTCAAATCTGACTTTAGATTTGACTTAAGATTTGACATTTGACCTTCAATGACCTTCTCAAAGTCAAAAAAGGTCAAAAAGGTCTTTTTTCAACTTGATTCAAATTGACTAAATTTTTTTTTCAAAATCATCTACATGTTCTCAGAAATTCAAATCTGACTTTAGATTTGACATTTGACCTTCAATGACCTTCTCAAAGTCAAAAAAGGTCAAAAAGGTCTTTTTTCAACTTGCTTCAAATTGACTAATTTTTTTTTTCAAAATCATCTACATGTTCTCAGTAATTCAAATCTGACTTTAGATTTGACATTTGACCTTTAATGACCTTCTCAAGGTCAAAAAAGGTCAAAAAGGTCTGTTTTCAACTTGCTTCAAATTGACTAAAAAAAAGTTCAAAATCATCTACGTGTTCTCAGAAATTCAAATCTGACTTTAGATTTGACTTAAGATTTGACATTTGACCTTCAATGACCTTCTCAAAGTCAAAAAAGGTCAAAAAGGTCTCTTTTCAATTTGCTTCAAATTGACTAAATTTTTTTTCAAAATCATCTACATGTTCTCAGAAATTCAAATCTGACTTTAGATTTGACATTTGACCTTCAATGACCTTCTCAATGTCAAAAAAGGTCAAAAAGGTATTTTTTCATCTTGCTTCAAATTGACTAAATTTTTTTTCAAAATCATCTACATGTTCTCAGAAATTCAAATATGACTTTAGATTTGACTTTAGATTTGACATTTGACCTTCAATGACCTTTTCAAGGTCAAAAAAGGTCAAAAAGGTCTTTTTTCAACTTGCTTCAAATTGACTAATTTTTTTTTTCAAAATCATCTACATGTTCTCAGAAATTCAAATCTGACTTCAGATTTGACATTTGACCTTTAATGGCCTTCTCAAGGTCAAAAAAGGTCAAAAAGGTCTGTTTTCAACTTGCTTCAAATTGACCAAATTTTTTTTTCAAAATCATCTACATCTTTTCAGAAGTTCAAATTTGACTTTACAAGTTCTCAGAAATTCAAATCTGACTTAAGTTTGAACTCATAATATTGTGAGCAACTAGGTGGTGACATTTTGTCATGTTAATGCCTTGTTTTATTCTGTCACCACCAGAAGAGGTGACAAATTGTTAGTCTCAAACTTTTTGTAGATGGCGGTTAGTGTTTAGCGTATGTAACAGTTATGTAAAAGGTTCAAGAAAAAATATGGTATTACTGATTAACTGATTTTTTTGCAGTTGAACCATGATGATGCAGAGTCATTCATAGATTACCTCAAGTCTATTGGACGCCTAGATGAAGCTGCAGTGAGATTGGCTAGGATAATCAACCAAGAAGATTTTGTATCAAAAGCTGGAAAATCTAAACACCAGGTAGCATTTTTACTAACTTTTGATTGCTCATTAGCAGACATATAAATGTCAATGTGATTAGATCAAAATGTGATTACAAACACTAATTTAATGCCTAAGTCACATTTACTCTGATTCATCGCTGCCTGTCGTGACTGATTGAGGCATTTTGTTCAAAATTGAAGGTCAAATCTCAAATTTCAGATGTGAATTCCTGAGAACTTGTACATGGTTTAAAAAAGGGTTTGGATCAATTTGAAGCAAGTTTTGAACAAAATACTGCAATCGGGCAGACGCCGGCCGATGAATTGGAGCAAGTATGACCTAGGCATTAGTTTTCCCAAATTGGCCAAGCTAAGGTTTCTGTCTTTCTGAATTTTTTTTTACAAGAGGAACCAAATCAATGCAAAGAAAGACTGAGTGTAAAGTCTGTTGTTAAAAAAAATTAACCCTTTTAAGAAATATACCAAAATTATCCTGATCTATCAATACTAAATGTTGCAGCTCTGGAATGAACTATGTGATTTGATATCAAAGAACCCAGATAAAGTGAAGTCATTGAAGGTTGAACCAATCATCAGACAGGGAATCAAGAAATACACAGACCAGGTGGGGTTACTGTGGAACTCACTAGCTGACTACTACATCAGGGGCGGACACTTTGAAAAGGTTTGTTAGGATTTATATCATTTTCATGTATCATTATCCTCTGAAATGACATACCATTCAATTTTTTTATTGTTATTTTAATGTTGTGTTGCAAAACAATTTTGCGCAAAATATTTTATTGGTGACAGTTTTGGATCATATGTACAGCACATGTATATTCAGCAGAATCTTAACTTTGATTTCTAGAAGTTATGACAAAATGAATATTTAGCTGGATGGTAAAAAATCAATTATGTATCTGATCAGTTAAAAAAACTACATGTTTTTCAGTATTTTGAAATTAATTGGAAAAATCTCATGTAACATGTACATGGATATATGCATACTCTCAAAAGTACAAGAGAAATATTAAACGAATAGCCCCTTTATTATATTTCAGGCCAGAGATGTCTATGAGGAAGCTATACAATCAGTGATCACTGTGCGTGACTTCTCCCAAGTATTTGATGCCTACGCGCAGTTTGAAGAGAGTATGTTCAGTGCAAAGATGGAAACCTCAGCTGAATTAGGACCTACTGAAGAAGGTATTGATTTATAATATACACTTTGTTTTGATATTTATTTCATTCTAAAGTATATTCATTTCTTACTTCATATACATATTTTATTTTAGGCACTGGAAAACACAATCATCAAGTGTCATCTTTCGATAAGTCAATTTATCACTCAATTTTTGGGATCAAAATATTTCAAAGCAATTTAAATACATGGTTATGGTTCCATGCAAGATCAGTTGTACATATCTATTCCACATACACTGTTTATATCATGTTAAATAAATAAATGAAATGAAATATTATGTTTGTTTATGGTACAAGGAGACAAAAAATGTTCACACAAAAATATGAAACTAATTTTGAAACAACTTTCTCAGTTTTGATGGAAAGCTTTTTTACAAATTTTTTTTCTATGTAAGGTCAAGTATCTTATGACCCTGAAGAAATGAGTCATGATTCTTATGACATGTGACACATAACCGGACCTTGTTGCAGTCCAAGCATCTTGTAGTTGCTGGGGTGTGCCTCTCATGGGTGGCCTCTCTTAGTGTAACACTTGTAACACAGTGTAACACTTTCTGTTATTTATTTACTCATTCATGAATGATCTTCATCTATTAATCACTGATGTTCTGTGATCTTCAGATGACCTTGAACTTGAGCTACGTATGGCGAGACTGGAGGATACGCTAGACAGACGGCCATTATTATTGAACAGTGTGCTCTTGAGACAGAACCCGCACAATGTCAGTGAGTGGCATAAACGCGTCACTCTATATGAGGGAAATCCCAGAGAGGTGAGTGCAGTTTTTGTTGTCATGGAGAATGATGCAATGAGCCTTTCAGCATTGCTTCACCCAATTGAGAATAAACCTACACCCAGATGTTATTAATTTGCACCCAGTTGTTAATTCATTTGCACCCAGTTGTAAATTCATTTGCACCCAATTATGTATTTATTTGCACCCAATTGTAAATTCATTTGCACCCAGTTATAGATTCATTTGCACCCAATTATGTATTTATTTTCACCCAATTGTAAATTCATTTCCACCCAGTCATAGATTCATTTGCACCCAATTGTGTAATTACTTACACTCAGTTGTTTTTTTATTCATTTGCCCCAGTTGAAGAATTCATTCGCACCAAGTTGAGGATTTATTATATTTCTTTAAATGACTGTATCTGCACCTGGCCTAGATTGGGTGTCACCAACAAAACAAGCAATTCCTTACTGTCTTAACAATTATTCTTTTAGATTATCAACACCTACACAGAGGCAGTCCAAACAGTAGACCCAAAGTTAGCATCAGGAAAACTACATACCATTTGGGTTGCATTTGCTAAATTCTATGAGGAGGCAGGTCAGCTTGATGATGTGAGTGATACAAATACTTTAGGAATATTCTTGAAGATTTTTTCATATTTTATTCAGAGATTGAGCTAAAATGATTTGCATGCTCCCACCCATCGTATCTTTTAACCTAACCTCTAAGATTAACAAATCTGTTGTGTGGGGGGGGGGGGAGGTGGGATTAAAAATTTACAATTTAACATTAAGAAATGAGTTTTTCTTATAATGTATTTATTTTAAAAGAATTTTCAATTTTTACATAAATAGATACTTTTGTTAAAACTGCAAAAAAACTGAGGAAAATAGCAATCTACCAATTTTGTAATTTATTCCGCTGTAAAAGAAATTAGGGTCCCCTGGGGATTATGGTCCCTTTTCCTTACGGACCTTACTGGCCCTGACTGTGTATAAATAATAAGGTTACCATATAAATCAATAGAGAGCAGGACCAAAATTTGATAGCACTCCCTACCCTTTTACACCGCTGCTTGGAATAGGTTTTCATAGATACATTGTATTTTTAACTGTCATTTATATGTTTTGGATAATTATTACAGGTAACTTTGTTATTCTATGAATATATATATTGTTTTATTTTCCTTTAGGCAAGGATTATATTTGACAAGGCCACCAATGTACCATATAAAAAAGTTGATGATTTAGCATCTGTGTGGTGTGAATGGTCAGAGATGGAAATTAGACATGAGTAAGTTATGAAAGTTATATCGAACTCCATAATACAATGAATAACATCTTCCGAACGTAGGGTTCCAGACATCATCCACTAAGTTCCTTCCTTCTAATGAGGTACGAGTTCTAGAGGCCTGTGTTTGGAGGATGAATAAATAAAGGCAGGAATGTAAAAAAGAATCAGAAGTACTGTATCACATTTTGATTGCACTAAAGGAGGAATATATAGATTGGATTTGAAAGATTGGATTTATCAATTTTCTTTTTTTATCAAATCGAAAAGTGCTATATTGTTGTTGGGCATGTTTGGCAATTTTAGAGGCAACTGTTTTGAATTTCATGTAAATATTTCAACAGTGTCAAGATATAGGGAGAGAAAATATTCTAGCATAGTAAGAGCATTCAATATACAGTTAGCAATTGTAACACAGGCCTTGAGTTTATTGATTTTCTCCCTATATCATGACATGTATAAAATATTTGCCACCGTGATTCTTGTTTTCCTTTACAATTTGGCCTAAATAAAGTCATCAATCACAAATATATATATTATGGTATAATTTGAGTCCGAAACATCTTGCATTTTTATGTATAAGTTAATTAAATGATCTCCAGTGTTGCATTTGCTTCTTTCATTTTAGAAATTACGAAGATGCATTGAAATTGATGCAGAAAGCAACAGCACCTCCTCCCAGAAAAGTGGCATACCACGATGAAGTAAAACAATTTTTATTTTATTTTATGTCACAACCAAGAAGTGGTTTTATATCGCTTTGACTTCCATCATATGATATAAGCATTCAGCATCATTGTTGGGCATATATAATGATTAGCAATAATTTTCAGATATATTTTCAGATTCACATGGAATTTTGACTGTGAACACATATAACATATTAGATTCATCATATTTTGAGTTATAGTGTATCTGTTACTTTGCAAACAAATTACAAATTGGAAGACGTTAAGTTTGCAATCTCTAATAATATTTACAACCAGGTGGTGACATTTTGTCATGTAAATTGTAAATGCCTTGTTTAATATAGTTTAAATAGTAACAGATACATTCATTGAACATTGTTTCAATAAATGAAGAGAATTGAACACTATTTATTGTATTTTTAGGCAGAAACAGTCCAGAGTCGAGTATACAAGTCACTTAAACTGTGGTCCATGTATGCTGACCTTGAAGAAAGTTTTGGTTCTTATAAGGTATGAATGAAATCCTCTAATGCCATTGGATAATAAAAAAATGTGTGACCCACCAAGTGCTGAATAACTGGATTAAAATTCAATATTTTAATGGTTTTTAAAGTATAACTATGAGTGACTACAATTTGCTCTTTGCTCTGTTGAGAGGATTAGTTGCTGTTAATTGTCCCAATTATACAATTACATAATGCAAGTACTTGTCAAAGAAGCATATTCATATGCTAATTGCCACAAGCATTTATAAGCACTGGGAGAGTCAGAGCTGTGGTGAGTATGGGGAAAAATACTTGACAACACTACATGTATATTTCCCATCTTTTCCAAATTTGAATAATTATTTATTTGACATACTATATTAAACAAACAAAAAACGAATCTAATCTTGGATAATTATTGTATTTTCAAGTCCTGTAAAGCAGTATATGACAGAATCTTAGATCTACGGATAGCTACGCCTCAGATCATAATCAACTATGGAATGTTCTTAGAGGAAAACAACTACTTTGAAGAGGCATTCAGAGTAAGTGGTTAACAATAAATCTATTTCAGTGTTCTCCCCAGTTTTTTTTTTCTCAAGCAGGTGCAAAGTTCTCATTTTCACAATTATGACCAAGATTGGTCAAAAAACTTGAGTGAGTACACATGCCAACATTGCCATGATTTTTATAATGTCAATGGCTATAAATAGATTTTCAAGTAAGTTGAATAGTTGCTTTTCTGTTTCAATTCTCAAGTAGGTGCAGTGTCTACTTGCTATAATGCTGAGGAGATCACTGTATTTCTGTGCTATTGTTCTGGTTGCAACATTGGTAATATCCTTATTAAATTAACAATTCTGATAGGTGATTATCCCAATTAAAAAAAGGTGTACAATTGGTCTCAGTTGTTGTACTATTAAAAATTGACTTGAAGCGTATTTCAATTTTACAAAGCAACATGCACAATAACGCAAATGCGAGTAGGTAGTTACCAGTTTCACCACCAGGTGGCTCGCTCGGGTCAGATAGCATGGCGGGTATAGCAGAAACTTCCCTTTAACTTAAATTACATCTGTTTTAGTCGTTCAATTTTCATATAGCCCTTATGTATTGAATAGTTATGCAAGTTAAAGTATGTCCAGTAAAAGAAAATGGTATATGTCCAATACAAGAAAAGATATTTCAATTTTTGTGATTTTGTAATATGGGGTCTATGGGGAATCAACCCGAGCTAGAAGTCACATTTTCAAAAAGGATTAAATTTTCAAAGTTGATAAACAATTTTCGAAACCATATTTTTAGATGTATTTTTACATGTAGATTTCAAATATGACATCACTTTGACTGAATTTTGAATATTTAATGACGTAAATCAAGATCATTTCTACTCGCATCTAGTCTATTACATATTTTGTTGTTTTCAGAGTGAATTTCAAACCTATTGATATCATTCTTACTCTCCAACTATTAAGCAAGACTTTACATACACAAACTAAAAAATATACACTAATATAATGTAATGTAAATATACACTAATCTTTTCAATTTCAATACCTGTTAAAACTGATCAGTAAAACCTTTATGCAGGAAATATATACATAGCATATATACCAGATAGTACAGTTTATATTTTGCGTTGTAGGCCTATGAGAAGGGAATAGCATTGTTCAAGTGGCCCAATGTATATGATATATGGAACCAGTACCTCAGCAAGTTCATCGAGAGATATGTAAGTATTATATTAAGATATTTGATCAAATATTAAAGAATTGAGATGAACAAATGTCCAGATTCAATAAAATTGAAAAAAATGAATGTGAAAGATTTTAAGATTATTGTCAGATGCTATGCTTAAATAGAATGGATAATATATTTATATATAATAGTGCACTAAGTACACTATGTAAAGTGTTTTATATTGTATTATCAGGATAAATATTTCTTGAAGCTTATGCGGACAGTTTATTTAGACATTCAATTAAGATCTCTATAATTGAGTGGTAATCATGTCAAAACATTATTCTAGGCAATATAACATTGACATGCATGATATATTCTGTATTTTATGACATCTTTGACTTATTTAGAACAAAATGTGATATTTTTATTAGCATTATGTGAATATTTACAGGGTGGTAAAAAACTTGAAAGAGCAAGAGATCTGTTTGAACAATGCTTAGATGGGTGCCCTCCAAAATATGCCAAAGGTATGTACATGTATCTATATAGTTTCATATAGGAGTTGTGATTTTAGAAATGGCTCAAGTGCACCAAGGGTATGTTACTTTTGGAGGCCAAAGGTATATTGCTTTTTACCTAGTTATTGATTGATACATCAGAATAAAATTACTTAATTTATAACAATATAAGAAAATACAGAAGTTCATCCATCCATTTGCTAATTAGTCCATCTTGGCATTAATACATATAATTTGGTCCAATATATCATCTTAGATTCTCACTGTGAATCTAAAAGTTCAAACCTGTTGTTTGCGACTTCTATGATTTGTGGTCAGGCTTTATGGTTCTTCCAAGTGATGTTTCCCTAGTTCCAGTTTCAGGTCCCTCCAGAACTTTGCCTGTTTTCTCTCATTGTCACTCCACTTGAGGCAGGTGTTGTGTTTCACCATCATTCTCAGTGTGTCAGACATCTCAGCTTTAGGGATGTGTTCCATGAGGAGCACAATGATCATGTCCTTGTGGTCATCAAGCAATGTCACCAGCGCCATATCCATCTGATGAAGATCAGAAAAATATTGTCTCAATTGAAAAACTCCTTTTTAAGAATGTAATTCCCTTCAACTTTACTTGAAACGCCAAAGTGTTCTTACCTCATGTATATTTAAGAAATATAGACCGAAGAGCAGGGGTAATATTGTCAAATACACCCTGCAGGGCTAGGCACAAACATGTTCTGTACCCTGAACGACTGAAAGGAGTGAGGGGTTCGTAAGCTTTTGTGCCTAGCCCTAAGGGGTGTATTTGACAATGTTACACCTGCTCTGAGGTCTATATTACGATTGGAACATGAAAACTCACCAAAATGTTTTGAATATTCATTATATTCCGCCATTACTACTTCCCCCCGTTATGACGTCACACATTATACATATTACCAGGGGTATTGTTAGCGAATATACCCCAGGTGAAATGTTGACTTTGTTTACAGTTTATAGAAGGCGTGAATACAGTCATGTTCGAATATGAATTAAAGCAAATGTAATATTAATGTTATGGATCCAACTACCATAATTGATATCTCATACGGAGGACAGATCTTAAGCCTTGAAATTCCAAACATATCCAATTACATAATTTTAAAATGATAGATAATATAATTCTATGAAATCAATCCAAAGGAAGAAGAGGTGTTGATTTGACTTGAACGGTTTGATGTGCAGTTGTTAGTGCCTCATAATATTATAGGAAACATGTTATCAATTTGAACTGAATTGAAATTGAATTGAAGTTATTTTCTATTTTAAATCTCACCACTTGCTGTTTTTATTATTTCTTGTACTCACCTCAAACTGGTTGAGAGCAGCATCTACCCATCCACGACTCACCACAAGTATGATCTTCCTACAGCTATACATAGCGTTGCCTAGCGATGTGAAGAATGAGCCACCAGGCATGATCCTGTCATCGTACATAAGTGTGAACTTAATATCATCTCCATTTTCTAACTCCCTGCACAACTGTTTATCACTATGGTAACTAACAAAAGCATCATCCTCATATTGAGGTTCCTGTATAGGAGCATTTTCCTTCTGTCTCCTTGCTTGGCGCACCATTTTGATATATTTTATGTCCTTCCGATAATGATGCAGTAACACAAGTGTGAGGATTGTTAAAAATATGAGGGAACCCCCAGTTGCAGAACATACTGTAATGACCAGTCCAGAATTACATTCAATCCAAGGTATGGTGTAGTTATGTATGAACTCATGTTTCAGGGATTTAGGCATACTACACTTTTCAAAATTATACTGTTTGAATCTTCCGACTGACCCGTTCAAAACGTCCCGTAATCCATTAAGCTCACAATTGCAGTTAAAGCTATTGTTTTGTATAAAAAGTCTTTTCAATTTAGGCATGTAGGCAAAGTTCCCAGAATCAATAACCATTAATGCATTGTCTGACAGGTCCAACCAGCTCAGGATATATAAGTCTTTGAAGAGGTCTTTTTGAATGTTCATTATCCTATTTTTTGCTAAGATGAGTGCTAGCAATTTGAACATTCCCTTAAAGAAACAGTCTGGTAAATGAGTCAAATAGTTTCTTGTGAGACTCAAACCTTCAACGTAACTTTTGTTTTCAAACAAGTGGCAAAGCTCATGATCTGTATATTGGAACAAATTGTTCCCATCAAGGCCAATGCTGCCAATTGACTTTGAACTTTTGAGTAATTGAATCACTTGATGACGATATCCTTCAAAATCTTTAGCATCAATTAACCTAAGAGAACGCAGATGCGGTAACTCTCTCATTTTTATATTCATTGTTGTGCTATCAGACAGGTAAAGTCTAAGGTGTTTCAAATGTTGAAGGCCACTTACATCCAGTGTAGGTATTGATGCTGTTGATTTCTGAATTCCTCCAAATAATCTAAAGTCTTGTAGATTCTCTAAAATATTCATGGTGGGTGGGCTGATGTACATGAAATTTGAAATCCATAATTTTGTGAGTGCTTTAATTGGTTTGAAGGCATTATAGGCTATTGACCTTATTGTATTTCCAGATAAATCTAATGATTTAAGCTTTGATGTTTGTAATGGTTTGAAAAAAGTTTCATCGAGTGTGTCAATGACAATACCACATTCCTTCATACTAAGATCGTGTAGTTCCCTGTTCTCAAAATCTTTAAGTATGTTCTCAACATTTTGAAGTCCCAAATTATAGTTATAGTTTATGTTCAGCCTTGATGTTCCATTTCCATGTTTAAATGCTCCAGGCCCTATAAACTGGATGTCATTGGAAGACAAATCGATACTTGTCTTCACCATTTTATTCAAATTTTGAAAAGCATCGACTTCTATCCCAGTTAAATTACTGTTCCGAATGGAAATAACATGAAGTTTGAACTTTTTAAACATATTGTTTTTCAGGATTCCAAAATCAAAGTTGTCTAGTTGAAGGCTTGTAATGTTTTGTGGTAATAATTCCAGAATGGTTTCTAAAGGCCAGTGTTCCTTTTTAGATGTTGCTTTACACTTGCAGGATAAAGAGGTACAGTCACAAAAATCTCCAATTTGATTGTTGAAGTTTGAATCATATTCCATATTTATTGGAGGAATAATGCCGTTGTCATCATTCTTTGTTTCTTTGTGTAGGTTTTGTAGAGAGTTCATTGTTGTTTCTGACATTTCATATGTACCTGTTGGTTGATCCCTTGATCCCTTAGCTGTACCAGGATCCAATGATGGTATGATCATAGTCTTCTTAGATCTAAGATCAGCTTTATTCTTTTGATAACTGATTGATATTGGAATCATACCAATCATAACCCAAAGTATTATTATCTGGAAACACAAATGTATCATTGCTATATTCTCCACTCTCTGATATTGGTCTGTGTCCTACATGTGACCTGATAAATAAAAGAAAAATATTGCCAGCTCAAGAGTATTACATCACTGAAAAGGAATACCCATATAAGGGCATGAAGTTCTTTGGACCTGACTGAGCAAAAGGCAAATGATGATGCCCTGCCCAGACCTTGCCCAGTAGGATGAAAAAGTCTCTGAAAAGTTTGGTCTTGGCTGGTTTTGCCAGGTAAAAATGTTACACTCTATGACTATATTGAGTTTTGATCTTTTCCGATTAATATATGTCTAGTTTAACAGGAAGTGATGTCAGTTTTGCTTCATTTTTATTCATGTATGCATTTGAATTAAACATAAAATAATTATTATTATCTTGAATTTGTATACCTTGACATGCCTCATGTGCGCATTGATTAAAAAGGGAGGATAGAATTCTCTTAAATCCCTTGTTGTTATATTAGTTTTAGAGTATAGATGGCATCACTTCCCGTCAGTAGTCATGAAAAATATATGATGAGATATTAGTTCAAAACCATTCCTAATTTTTTTTGTTTCATTAATTACTTATTCTAATATGATTCGTGACGTCACAATAGCTAGAACAATTGATTTACTGGTCTATATTGGAGTATGTATGACCACTAAAATTCAAAAATGCAAATATTTGTTTTTCTTGTCTGTTTATCATATTAGAATCGTAACAAAGACCTCGGTTTTATGATTTATGTCAAATATATGACCTCAAATTTTATTCTGGCCATTGCTACGCAATTTCGGTCTTTTAACAATGAACAGAATAAAAATTTCGGTCATTTATCACGCCGTAAATCATGAAATCTTGGTCTTTATTCCTTAAATATTATTATTTGAAAATATTTTAATATTACCTTCATTGTGAACAGCTTTACTTCCTTGTAGCTGTGATTTAAATCTGATTATTTTTGCTAGATGTTCTTATTTGTATAATTCCTATGTCTAATTTATTCAACCTGAGTTCTCAGTTGTACATGAAAAAATAACCAATGTACCTATTTAAACATTCAGGACATAATGAACAAACACATTTTATAGCACTTCACTGTTTCATACTTTAAATGACCAAGCCTAAAAATTCATCTTAATACTAACTACACATTGTTCTCAGCTTTATAAACATATTGTCAAGGTTGAACAAGTGATATAAATTATGGGCGTCATCCACTTAGAAACGGCATATGTCGCTTGGCTTTACTGAAGGACTTTTGATATGTCATATAGGATTTCAAAATACAATAAAAGTTTTAGATTTCGATAAGTCGATGGTAGTATGAGTAATAGAATAGTGGTAGAATTAGGTGAAGTTTGAATGAATCAGATATGTCGTTTCTAGTCAGACCAATTTCACAGACTATAGGCCCTGCACCCTTCTTATGTCACCACCTAGGCTTACAAATAACAAACCAGGGTTTGTAACATTGTTACATATTACAAAGAGTTCAGATTATATTACCATTCAAGTAACCTAAACATATTGCAATAATGCAGTGCTATTTTTACTTGAAATTTTCATTCTATTTGAAATCTTCTATTTTCAGCAATATATTTATTATATGCCAAATTAGAAGAGGACCATGGTCTAGCAAGGCATGCTATGGCAGTATATGACAGGTCAACCAAAGCTGTGTTGCCTGAGGAACAATTTGAGGTAACCATAGTTTCATACATTGAAGACATATTTTAATTGAGTTAAAGTATACATCTATTCATAACATATAGATATCTGTATTTTGATTGGTTCAAGAATGACTTCTTATCATGTTTAGCCAATAAGATTACAGGTAGTTATCCATTTTTGTAGACCAAAAATCTGACCTTCATATATTTTTCGATTAGCTTCTGAATTTGTGTTTGAAGAAGATCAAGTATGCTTATTTATATTTCTAGAACACCCTGTATATACTATGTAGTATAGTGCTTATATGGATAAGGTACATAAATAATTTGTATTTTGCTGATTTTTTCAGATGTTCAACATTTATATTAAAAAAGCTGCAGAGATTTATGGTGTCACTCACACTAGAGCCATCTATGAGAAAGCCATAGAAGTATTAACAGAAGACAAATCTAGGTAAGATAGAATCTTGAAAATTATATGTTGAGTATTAAACTGTTTTGTGTATATCAAAATCAAGTGCTGGAAAGTTTGAAAATTACAATAAGGAATCTAAGTGAAATAAAGCAACAAGTACATGCATGTAACATACATATTATTATTAATACATATTAACATACAATGCGAACTTCATTGTTAGCATATGTTAAAGTGTACCCCCACCATTTCAAAACCAGAAAGACCAGAAGAAATAAAACTTTACCTCTTCCGTGTGATTTATTTTAGAGACATGTGTCTAAGATTTGCAGACTTGGAGAGAAAGTTGGGAGAAATTGATCGTGCAAGAGCCTTATATGCTCATTGTTCCCAGATGTGTGATCCTAGAGTAAGTCAATGTTTCATCAATAGAAACTGTTTTGAAATAAAAGATCTGATATAAAAGAGATAATCTTCTGATTTATCCATATTAATACTGTTTTGATCGAATTCATCTTCCCAGTCATAAGTCTTTAGAAATACATTTACAAGTAAGTAGATCAGATACCATAATTGTGAAAATACCATCTTGATTCATATTCCTCCATCTCTGCTCTTAAAGATCTAAGCGACATTATGATTAATATAATACTTTTCCATTTTTTAGTCTACTCAAGAATTCTGGCAGACTTGGAAAGACTTTGAAGTTAAACATGGCAATGAAGACACAGTGAGGGAAATGTTGCGTGTAAAACGCAGCGTACAAGCAGTATTCAATACACAGGTAAAATGCACAATTTTCACAATATTCAGTCAAAGTTAACCAGATATACCAATTTTCATGATTTTATAGGTGTATTTCTTATTTTCCAAATTTCAAGTGGGGACATGGCCCACATGGAAGGTCACATATAAGTCTATCATATTATTTAACATGTACATGTTATTATATGCATAATGCGTTCATTTCCAGGTGAACTTTATGTCTGCTCAGATGCTTGCAGCTCAGTCAGGGGCAGTAGATGAAGGTAAGAGAAAGCTATAACTTGTATATGAAGCTACTATACATATAATTAAACTTATACAGTGTATGTATGAATGTAGTATAAGCATACTCTGCATCATGTCATTCAGTGAGTCGAAATCTGAGAGAACTTTTATCATTTTCCGTACTTATATTTTTAGCCTAGAGTTAAGTTTCACGACAAATATTGAATTTTCAATATCGCAATTTCTTTTCATTACTAATATCAAAAAACAACTCAGTAGGGGTACCAAGATATTCACACAATTATTTAATTGTTTCTGCAACAGTTGCACTGCAAAATGGAATATTTCTTCTTATCATATGTTTCTCTTATTGCCTTCATAGATGCTGGTCCTGGCGATGAGATGAAGAAACTAGAAGAAAAGGCCAGACTTTTGGCAGAGGAGTCTATGAAAGATCAACCTCCACAACCAGACAAGGGAATATTATTCGTCAGGTATGTCATTTGTGTGGTTTATTTTCCAAACATTTTGGAGATTCAACCGTCATTGCTTTATATTTGTCCAATCTTCCTCCAAATGATTTAGTGATTGATTTTACAAAATTTCCAAATTGGTGAATTCAGTTCCCAATTTCCACCCTATTTGTTTCTTGTCTAAAACCTTATTGCATTGACATAAATCTTATGTTTTCCAGGAGTGATACCACAGACCAGGAGTTGGGAGAACTCACTAAGACTAACAACCCTGAAGAGATTGATATTGATGATGACTTCTCTAGTGATGATGAGGCAACTGTACAAGGTATGTTCTTGGCTAAGTAAGGGGATGGGGAAAATAGAATATTAACATTACACTTCTACAATCCTACAACTTAGGAATATTGGTAACATTGTGCTTCATTGGTCAAGATTCTACTCTTATTGCAAAAAGCTGTGGTAAATATTCAACAACAAAAAAGTTCAAGTGAAATTACTGCACTTTCCTTGAATTAGCTAATAATGAACTTGAAACACTTTATTTGATTTGTCTGCCCTTTATAAGAATTATTCATTCCGCATCATCCGTGTTGTTTGTAAAGTTCATTTTCTGTTGTTTTTCAGAGGTGAATGTGGAAAAGCAAGCTATCCCATCTGCTGTATTTGGTGAGCTTGACAAGGATGATTCAGACTAATACCACAAGAGGGCTCTGTACTACTGCAATATTGAATTGAATTCTCAAAACTGCAACAAGCAACTTACTATGGACACTTTTGATTGGACTAAAAATATTAGACTATATGGATTAATCTTGTATTTGATATAAAAGTTTGAATGAGTTGACCCGCCATAAGACTCACCAGAACCTGAATTATGATTTTCTAACGGATTTTCAATTTTTTGTACCAAAATATTTCATTAAAGTTTACAATCTCTTAAATGAAATGAAAAATAAATAAAATATATTTTACTACATGTGTGTGTGTCTTTATTATGAAATCAGTGTATACTAAATACAAGTTCAAAATGCTTATAAATAACAATTTATACAAAAACAATATTATAAATAAAGGAATATGTACATGGCAAAAAGCTAAGTTTATATGAGTATATCACAGGCTACAAAAATCTCCATGTTTAAATGGTATATACTGAAATGTATTGAAATTATCAATACATATATATCAATACTAAGGGCTTCAAAAATTCAATATCTATTCGAGGCCTGAATAAATAATTAACCTTGACCACCCCTTTGTCCCCCAAAACCAAAGTAAACATGGAATTGATTTAAGTACAAAGTTGAAAGACATATTAAAATGGCCTCTTATTACATTATTTGTTTTCAAATAAAAATTTACATTTGAAAACATTCATTATCTTTTACCAAGTTGTCATATAAAACCGCAGGCCCTATTAAAGTTGTTCTAAAAATATATATTTGTATTATCACAGTCAAATCACAGTTCATATTGGTCAATTCATACTGTACAGTCCAGTACAGGTCTCAGGCATATCCTGAATTAAGTCCATAACTCGAAGGCACAAGAGCCCTGATTCACATTTTGTCTATATATTATATCAGCAATAAATGATGTGATTCTTATCAGACAATCAGAATGTGAAAGTCTAATTGCTGTATCCTTGTCTATAATATTAAAAATTACAATTCCTCCATTTCAATTATCTTTCTAGAATATTGGGATTATTTTTACAATTCTTGTTTTCACAATAGTAAGCATCGTAAACCACCACCATAAAAGGAACACTGAAAAATGTTTCAAATTTTCCTGAGAAGATCGGACTTAACCATTGACAGGCACAAGTGCGTAGTTATTGTCCAGGTGGCGCTGTAGTTGCTGCTTGTAGGCAGGTGTCAGGAGGTCGGAAGATTTCAAACACTGATCCACGGCATAACTACAGGGTAGTAGGTGATCTGAAACAACAATGGAGCATTAATATCTGCAACATCTGCGTTAACAGTTTTAGCACTAGAAGTAAACTTGTATATTATGTAATGTTCCAAAACAAAGAAATCTCCTAACTGCTGACATATGCAGCAGATCAGAAGCACTATGTTTTCCTTTTTTAATTGAAATTCATACGGTAGCGTAAAACCTTGCTTATATATCAATGTATATGTACCTTTTGCAGTCCATTTATCTTGAGCTACAAACATCAAGGCAGGAACACAATACTGGGCCACACTGTAACTGTCTGGCTCCCTGGAGTTACTCATCCACACTGGCAACATCACATGTTCATAGTGCTGAAATAAGACATCACATGTATAAAGTCCTGAAATAAGACATCACATGTTCATAGTGCTGAAATAAGACATCACATGTATAAAGTGCTGAAATAAGACATCACATGTTCATAGTGCTGAAAGAAGATATTACATGTTCATAGTGTTGAAACATGACATCACATGTTCAAAGTACTGAAATAAGACATCACATGTTCATAGTGCTGAAATAAGACATCACATGTATAAAGTGCTGAAATAAGACATCACATGTTCATAGTGCTGAAAGAAGATATTACATGTTCATAGTGTTGAAATATGACATCACATGTTCAAAGTACTGAAATAAGACATCTCAGGTTCATATTACTGAAATAAGACATCACATGTTTATAGTGCTCAAATAAGACATCACATGTTTTTAGTGCTGAAATATGATATCACATGCTCATATTGATGACATTTTATCATCACATGCTCATAGATCTGATGCATGAAATCACACCACATCAATTCCTTATTTTAGTAAATGGAGCTCAGATATTATGAAGTCAATGATACACTCAAAACTCATAATTATAAATATTTGGAAAAAATGTATTTGAAAACATAAACTACCTCTGGGTATCCCACACTTTGGTCCAATTTGCTAAGTTCCTCTTTAGTGATGAGGTAAAGACATCCCTCTACAGAGGAGGCGGGGTTGAACTGGATGTTGGGGAAACCACCTGCCTCAATATCTGTGCCTGAAAGGACATGTTACAAATAGTCCTAAACATGTTTGTTAGGTAAGTATATCACATATAAAATTGTCATGCTTTCATCAAACAGTACAAAATTAGACAATAATTGGGAACCAACAATGATGAACATTTGAAATAAATGTATTTCCTAAGCTCTTTGCTTGTTGAGTGGAAATATTTCCAGACTCTGAGTTATGCATACCACCAAAAGAAGCTTAGTAAGGAGTAACGAAAAGCCATACTTTCATCCATTTTGTAGTTGCACAAATATTGATTATCAGCTTTGGTTCAAATTCAAAAGACTGATGGCTTATTGGAAGAGAACTTTTGTTCCAGAAGAAATTGCCAATATCACGGATGTAGCCAGGTATGATTTTACAGAAAAATATTCAAAAATTTTTCAACTGAGACCTTTATTCAAAACTTATATGCTCAGAATATGACTTGTGCGTAAATACCTTTTTTGTTGAAGTGTAACTTGAAACCATACAGCAATCCCCAGAGTCGCTGGTCCACCTGCCGTCTGATGTATACACTCAATCTGTAAAATAGAACAAAATATGTAACAGTGCTGTAAAATAATAGTAATGACACAGTAAAACTTGACCCAAAAGTAAGACTTGTCACTTAAGTCTAATAGCATTATTATTTGCATGCAATGATACTCATTCTAACATTGGTCAAACACATTTGCTCATTAATAAAAATAAATACAGTTAAACCTTTCCAATCTGATTGCCACTAGGTCTGGCCAAAAGTGTTAAGCTGAGTGGCAGATGTTCATATATTTCAGTGTTTTAAACATGGAAATCTATGGCAGAAAAATGGACCACAGAAAAGTATTCACACTGACAGGAATTCAAATTAGAGACAGCTAGGCGACTAAATCAAAAATGACATCACAATAAATCATTGCGCATCAGTGATTAAAAAATCTTTGCGATGTCGATAATTCCCACCTTCAAAATAGATTTTCTAATCCTGTAAAAACTAGACATTATTTACAATTTATAATTGGCAGAGACATGAAGAACATTTTATTTTTAAGAATTCGACAGGTTTCCATTGCGCATGTTCTACATGTATATAGGTCCTGTAGTGGCAACATTCATTGTGAGAATTTAGAAAACTTTTAAAAAAATCTGATAAAAACAATAATTTGAGCAGGCAGTAGTACATTGTTGTTTTCACTATACAACATTTATTTTGAGATTTCTCATGCACTGGTGATCCGCTCAATTACGCTGGTTACCGAAATGGTTCGTTTTGGTAACAAAATGTCGGAACATCAAAGGTACGATTTTTCTTTTTTCTTTATTTCACGATTCGTAGGCAGAATCCCCATAACATTTTTTCTCACAAACGTGTATCAGTATCATATGTTTTAGAAAATGTACATGATTGCGACAAAATAGCTCAGAAGACAACAGAATCATCGATTTAATTCCTCACTTAAGTTATATACATAAACGGTAGGGGTTAAAAGTGCAGATCTTAACTTTTTTTCGAAATACCGTTTATGTTACTTAAGTGAGGAACTGAATTGACAATTCCGCTGTCTTCTGAACTATTTGTTCGCAGATGTGTACATTTTCTTAAACATATGATACCGATACACGTTTGTGATAAAAATGTTGTGGGAATTCTGCCTACAACGTGTGAAAACTCGTACCTTCAACGTTCCGACATTTTGTTACCGAAACGGTTCCAGCGTAATCGAGTGGATCACCAGTGTCATGGCACACTTGTATATAATTTATGATATGAGTCTAATGTCTCTAATAAAAGCATTGGCCATAAGCCTACTGAACAAAGGTTCACTAGAGTTGAGAGGTGCCCGGATATACAGGTTTTACTTTAGAGGTATTTCATTCACATGTATTTACCATTGAATATATTAGACAATGTTGAATTATTGCAGCATCATAACACAATTCCTAGAAAAATATTTTGGTGCTTATTTCTGAAATAATATTCCAAGGTTTCCTAGTAAGGGTTTATTCAATCACATTCATTGAAAGTCAAATACTGACTAAAGCCTTGACATTGATTTTTATGAATATAAAATTTAAAATAATAAATATACTAGTAGTGGGTAATGGATGTGATTGATATCTATTTATATTTATGAGGCATATGCAGATATTAAAATCCAGTTAATTTGAAGCACTAGTATTTCTGTCAATATTAAATAAACAATATTAATGATTAATTTTTTAACTGAGCCTTATCTCTAGACTTTACTTTTACTTGAACTTTGAGCACATAAACACTCCTTAATTAGAAAGTACTTATGCTAGATGTCAACTCTCATACATTCAACTGTCAGATGACAAAAAACGGTTAACGAATTAAAGTGAATTATGTTAACAAATTGAAAAAGCCTCTACAAACAATGATTGATTTTTTAAAATATCAAAAAAGTAAGTGAATAAGAAATCAGGTTTGACTTGTAAATAGAAAGGGACTGGTACATAATTCTCCTATCCGCGATATATGCTAACTGAAAGCTATCCCAGGCTGCACTGCATAAAATGAAAAAATATTTGGGTCAATGAAAATAAATATTCAAGTTGTGTCATAATCATTTTTCATCTACTATTTGTTTAGATCTATCATTAATAATAATCAACTCTTCAAATCAACAAAGATGGGGAACAGCATTGACCAATGGCGAAGTGCAATTGGTAGCTTCCACCCATACAGTAATACCAGCAACTGTGATGAGGCTGACAGAAAGACAGAGATTAACGAACAGCTTCCTAAACAAAGCAAAACAAGAGATGAAAATAACTTTGAATACCAGACAAACAGGCCACAGGAACTAACAGATCAACCAGAAGCTCATTGGATAGGAACACTGCCCCCACTAGACATTGACAACAAAGTGCAAGAACAGACATACCAAACTCCAGTCGGTATTGATGTCAAGAGTCAAAATGACCCTTTGAAGAACAATGATCATGAGGCAGAGAAAACGAAGGATAAACAGAGTAGCCTTATAGTTGAATCTATTGCAGATTCCACTGTTACATTTAGACGAGACAGAGCCAGCGCTGAAACATTGAGGATACTACCCCAGCTATTAGTGGTCATTACTTTGTTACTAATAATTGGTGGAGTTGAGGCCAACCCTGGTCCTCAAACAGACAGTGATAAAGGTAATGATACAATTATTCTTATTTTGGGTTTCTCATTTGCAATTGGCTTTGTATAAAAAACCTCCTACCTCATACCCACGTACGTGGGACATGATGCAGTCTTTGAAGGGTTCAATTTTAAAGATCTTAGTTTATTAAATCTTAGTTTATGATGAATTATGCATCCATATGCTTATATTTATGGATCTGTCATCTGTCTAGTCATAAAATAAAGCCGGAATTGTAGAAATGTTAATAATTTGAGCTATTTTGAGATTTAATAATCTTTAAAATTGAACCCTTCAATGACTGTATCCTGTTCCACGTAGGTGGGTAGGTGGGTATGAGGTAGGTCTTTTTTATAAAAGCCTTTGCAATTGTATTGCAGCTATCATTAAAATTGAATGTTTTGAATACATACATGCTCCACTACTTTTCGAGTTACAGCAAAAATTGTAAAATAAAGAGTATAGGCCGCCATTTTTCAAGATGGAGTCGTTCCCTATATCCCTCCGAACTTCGTTCGATGGGATAATAACATTAATAAAAGCTATTTAATAACATATTCATTAGTCTATGTTATATTGATTCATGGATATTTTGTGGGCTTATATGATTACTAAAATCATGAAAAACAGTTTTTATTGCTCTTTAACCTCTTGACTACCCAGAGTGACGAGTTTTCTCGTCACCTCAGGAATGACCTTGAAACCCAGAGGGACGAGAAAATCCGTCACAAAAAGTTTCACAAATTGCTCTTATTTGCACAATTTTTATCCAATTTACACAAAAATTGTTTTAAAGCATGTAGAAATGATCTCTGCCATCTAATTTTACTAAGCTGGGCATCTACGGTCATATAGGTATGTCGTAAAATGTCAAAAGGTAGCAAAAATGAAGAAAATCGCTGGTTTCAACTGATTTTAGAGCCTGGGAGTCAATTAAGAGGTTAATAGTGAAACTGAAGACTAATAAACTGTTTGTTACATTATATTGTATTCAAGATGTGTTTTCAATTCCGCATCGTATGTTAGGGTTACTATTTATAAACTGATTGAGGATTCAATATTTTGTGAGGAATTAAATTGAATTTTTAAAAATAAATAATTTATTTGCCCACCATGTACTGTATTCATCTTTAATTTGGCGATTTTGGGATATCGGACATATTGGCGTCTATTTAATTTTGCATTTTGCAAGGGTTAAACCACTTAGGGGAGGCATCAAAAGATCAATGTCTGATAGAAAACTAAATAAATCTAGTTTGGGGGGAGGGGGTCAAAGCTATTTCAGTTTGCTATCCGACAAATTTCAACATTTAAATTTTTCGCAATTTCGACTCGAAATGCCTTGGAATGGTTTAAAAATAAAGACTTTACCAGATGCCTTCTTCACCAAGATGCATGCAACATGGAATATTATGCCTATTGTTGTTGGCACATGTTTTAAGAATCATAAATAAGTTATAGTACTGGCCCCATGAAAGTCCAAAAACATGTCGCTAAAACATGTGAAAAGTCCGCGATCAACTTTCATTGTATTTAGTTTTGAGGGGGAGGGGGGGGGGGTCCAACTCAAAACTAGATTTATTTAGTTTCATATCAGACATTGAACTTTTGATGCCTCCCCTTAAACCACACAAACTTTGATCTTGCATACTGTACCTGAATCCTAATAAAATAAAGACCCACTCTCCTGACTTTGATATTGTAAAATGTTTTGTATGATATTTGATGCCTCAGCATTGGCCAATCGATCCTGTTGAGTGTCCCTGATACCCTCCCACCTAACCCAGTTTAATATACTCATTGTAGTTGATGAACAATTCAAAATGCTCTAAATTAAACAATCTTAATGGCCCCAGCCATCTTTCTTATCAACCAGAAGTGCACCGAACAAAATTCCCGGGGATTTTGGTGACTATTTAATTTTGCGATTTTCTGAATTCATAAAAGGACGATTCTCGGTTTGGAGAACGAAGTTCATCAATCTAAATGAGCATTATCCCTACAAATTTGATTCTTTTAACATAATATAGATTTGAATGTTTTCTTTTGAAAAGTCATAATTTAATTTGGGTAATGTTTGTAGATTTTTCGCAAAAAAATATTAGCGCAGTACACTGATGAACTTCTTTCCCCAAATCGAGACTTGTATTTTATTGAATCGGTCTAATTGAGCGTTACCCCTGCTTCAGACCAATTTGTTATTTTTACATCTTGTAGATTTAAATGTCCTCTTTCGAATGTTCATAGTTTAATTTGGGTAATATTTCTATATTTTTCATGAAAAGAATTATTAGCCCAGGAAACTGTTCTCCAAACCGAGAATTGTCCTTTGCCAAATTAAAACGCTCGCCAAATTAAAGACAAATACAGTACATGTATGTAAAATTATTCAG